TTTTCCCTATTAATAATCTAATATGTTGTTTTGTGGCCCGTTTCAAATGGTCTACCAAAATGATCAAACTATGCCTTTCAACACAACGCTGTTTTAGAAGAAAGTGGAGACATTTTCTTTAAAATTTGCATAATACAAAGTGTTTTTTACTTATACTTTCAAAATAAATTATTTTTTCCTTCTCAATGCGTAATGTGTATAATAAAGCATTCTTTATTACTTCTAAAAGCCGAGGCATTTGACTAAAATTGTTATTTAGGTAAATCATTAACGTAGAAAATGTGAATATGAATTACTAAACAACCTAAACTAAAAGACAACGTATTCAACAGCGGTGTGTCATGTAGTTCATAAAAAGTGGGTACTTGAACTTTGCAATCTGATTTACATCCAGGCTCACTACAGACAAAACCACTCGAAAGTGCTTAAAGCGTGTTTTGGAAACTATTGTTCGTTGTTTCGTGGGTTTGCCTAAATTGGATGTGGTTGCGATAAATTGTCTAATAAATCGGACAAAATCATCACGTTTTTCGACGGCATTTCGAGCAGCCTTGTAAAACATGTCGTATCAGAGCCATGAATCTGGTAAATAAACTTGATTCGTGTTTCAAAACTTTATTAGTTCATTTTCAAGTTGGATTTTCCTCTACTTGACTACATGATAGTCATCCAAAACGGAGAAGTTTTATAAATATTGTTCAGCGACTTAAAACCACTTAAAAAAAATATGCAAATGGAAGAACAGTTCTCAAATGTTGAAGACGAAGATCCATCCCCAAGTAGTGATTGCAAAATAGCTCAAAATAAATTAAAAAAAAGTATGGACAAAATTGCAAGAAAATCAGTTCTATCATTTTTATATTCAACTGTCCAAGCTTTCACTTTTCTAAAGCTGGATGAATTCTTGCCACTTCTTCTCTAAGCTAGTCGGAATCGTGGACTTATTTTGCAACTGATTTAACTTTGTCATTTTCAAGTATAAACAAAGTTATCTAAAAATGTTGTGTTTCAAGGGTACAGACAGATTCAACTTAGGAATCACCTTGTGCATTATACAGGCTATAAATTTGAACGAAAATACTACAAATAAGGATTTTATTGGCTAATAGAACCGTTCTATAAATACCTGTGCGCAATTGAAACTCGTTCCTCCTATTTAAGTTACTAACATTGATGTACGGTGGGTGGAAGTAAACTTTTACTCCGCAAAAGAAGCAAAATTATTAGGTCGACTAAAAACAAGTCTTACTCTTTTTTGGGTTTATCTACGTTAAGCTATTTTTGGATGCAATTTCTGGAAAATGTCCATTCACAGTTTCAACTGTTCCCTATTGGTATGTAGTAAAAACCACTTTATTTGATAAAACCGACACAGCATTGAAATTTATTCTCAAAATAGGCGAACCCTTGGTCTCCTTTCGTGTATATCCGTTAACCAAGTCGTGCACAAGAAATTCGACTTTTTTGTTTTTAAATATATTCTACATCGCAACACTTGATCGTGTGGTCTTCATAAAAGAAATTGCTTTTGCCGATGATGACTTGAAGTGCATGAAAACGGTCCAAGCGAATACAGATCGCTTCAGTCATTTTTAGTAGTCAAGTAAAGCAATTTGATTAGAGACATTGAAAATGGGAACTAAACGCAATAACGAAACATGGAATTTTGGTGTTTGAAAAATTAACTCGAATTTGTTGTTGAACTGTTTTGGTTTTATTTGCGTAGAGAACGAATTTCAAATAATTTGAAATTTAACAGAATAAATACAATAAATTGAATAGAGAGAACAATTTTCATTTGGGGTAGTTTAATCCGAATGGGATTTGGATTTCAAAATTGTCCGAGTTATTGAAATAGTATTGAAAATTAAAAAAAGGAATCTTTAGTAAACACTTTTTCCTATTATCTATCATAAATGAAAAACTCTGAAGGTTGGATGCAAAAATGAATTAAAGTATAATTTTCACTATCGAATTTCAAGTCATTAACGCCCAATAGTCTGGATACAATTTGATAAAGTGTTGCTATACGCAAAATGGCATTCCAAATCAAAAACGATAAAAAAATTCACATCCAATTTTAAATGTACGTCTGATTAGATGTTTAGGACATAACAATAACACTTTTACAGATAATAAATGTAAACAACTTCCCTGCTTTATCATTTTGCGTTTACTGAGCATGAATGGCGATGTAGTTTGGCTTATGTAATTATTATTTCATATTGCGTTTCCTTATAACTTTGAAAGCAAAGTGCAGATTATTTAACCGCAAACCAAACAAACTATGTACAAAGAATATGTTTAAGCATTTCTCTGCATATTAAAAGATTACAGCAAACAAAAGAAATATTAAAATTCTACCACGAGCATTTTGAATTAAGAGTCGAATATGATTCCTTAACAGGAGGAAAACTCTATTTCCTAATCGTTTAAACAATAAATGACTTGAAGAGTATTATCTCACCTTCAATAATGGAGAGAAATTATTTTTTATACAAGGAATTATGTTCAACTGAGAAACAGTATTATTGCGTGCGGAAGCTGTGAACAGTCTCAGTTTTTGGACATGACGCAGTAGAATCCCACTAAATCTAAATCCGATTTTCCGCATAGTTTTAATTTCTGCATAATTTCACAATTTTCTGGCTAAATTACTAATTTAATAATTATTAATTAATTCAATTATTTACATTAAATAAAATGCGGCACTGTCCGAATTCAAACGCACATCTATCAAACAATTAGAAAAACAAGTAAGTCCCATCAAGATAAATGAGGTGAGATTAATGTTGCAATTTGTTGCGGATACAAAACAAGATAACTATTTATTTACCTCTTTAAACTAGTTTCGACATACTTAGCAATTGTTTACTGTAAGAACTTGATTTGAGCCGTTCAAAATAAACGCATTCGGTTAGCGATTAGCAAAGTCAACAGAAACTCTTCTGAGTGAAAACACTGAGAATGAAAATTTTACAATGCGTCCTATAACACTCGAGAAACCTTGATAAATTGCAATTTAACTGCA